GTCCTGCTCAGATCTTAGTGCATAGAGCTGTCTCACTGCTGGACAGTGACAGCGTGAGCAAAGAGGGGCAGATACCTAAAGCTCTCCTGCTGATGACTGGCAGGGCGGGGGTCACGATGACTTCTGGCAGCAAGTACGGCCAGAGGCAGCTCCTGGGGGTTCTGTCAGTGGAGCAACTTCACTGGGCCATCTCTGCCACCTCACAGAAGCCATCCCACCACAAACAGTCACCTGTCCTGAGCTGGAAATGAGAGTGGCTTTGGGGCTGTCAATCAACTGTCTGGATCTTGGTGTGTTCACTGACCCTGCCTTTCCTGAGCACCTACTTCAACAGGGCACAGAGCTTGGGGCTGGAGAGTAAAACATGCTCCAAGATGCTGCCCCGTGTTCTCACACCTCTGTCCACTGCGATCCAGTGTGAGAGGTGACCAGGAGCAGCAGGTCGCCATGTAAAAGGACAGGAGGGAGAGGTCAAATGCCTGGGGAGCAGAATTTGCAGGCAAGGTGGTGTGTGAGCTGAGTCATACTGGCCGGGCGGTACTTTTCCGGGCAGAGCGCTGGGAGGGCACACGGCGTGCCAGGGCAGGGAGGCATGGACGGAGTGCGTACTCTGGAACGTGAGTCACCAGGGTCATGTGTGTGTGGGTGTGAGTGGCCGGAGGGGGCAGGGGTGCTGGTTGAAGTCATGGCGTAGAGACTTTGGGCTACAGCTTTGGGGGCGGATCTGGGCCTGTGTCTCTGGCCAGGTGGTAGTGGCTGTGTGGCTCCTCTCAAAGGGCCGGCTCAGAGGTTGGTGAGAGGAGGCGAGAGGGCTGGGGGACAAGGAGGAAGTGCCAGCTCCTGGAAGAACAGCATGCCGGCTTGGAACCACGTGAAGCTCGAGCCCGACAATTTCTGGCTGCTCTGGTGGCAGGACCATGGGCAGATCGGGGTCGTCGGAGACCGTGCATCGCCAGCCTGCACGCCCACCCCAGGCGCTTCTCACCTGTTCGCCTTTGGAGTGGCTGGGAGATGCATAGGCCTCGGGGTAGTGCTGTCGCTCGAAGGGGCACTCGAGTGGCTCAAGGTGGTGCTGGCCAAAGGCCTCTGTGCGCAGATGCTTGCGGGCCCCACCGCTGCTCTGTGAATCGATGCTCAGGCGGCAGCTGTCCTGGTCACCTGGTGTCCCGGGCAGGGAGAAAGCTCTCAGGGGACCCATCTCCACCCAGCCTGGAGCGGAGGAGCAGACTCAGCTGCAGACAGAGGGTCAGGCCAGGCTCGGAGGCTCTGGCCATGGCTGCTCAGAGATAGGCCACATGCTGCAGGTGGGGAGCTGCCAGGCTGCAAAGCCCTAGGTTGAAGAGGTTTCTGTCCCCATCAGAGCAAACCACCCCAGCACCCCCCTACCCCTGTGCCCCACACTCACTGTCATCAGTCTTCCTCTTGCTGTCCCCTGGCTGTGCAATCCCCAGCAGCCCATTGATGGAGTAGGTAGAGCCCAGAGAGTCAGACTGTGGTGACTCTGGGGGCGTCACGGCCGAGCTGGGGACTGCAGGGCATGAGAAGGACAGGGTCAGGATGGGGGGGGGGGGGAAGCAGCCCAGAGAGCCCCTGCTGCCACCATGGAGGAGTTGGGGCCGCTGGTGGGAGGGATCCTGGAGTTGAGGTTGCCTGAGGTTTTGCCACTCTGAACACCTCAGTGACTGGACCCTGGAGCCCAGCAAGGCTTTGTTCCCGTGGAAGGGCTCATCTGCACAGCGGGCATGTGTACAACCCCCTGCGTGTCCCCTTGTGTGCTCCTGCAGCCCCTCGACCACTCACTCAGCGTATGTCCTGGGCTCAGGGACTTGGTGGCCACGCAGCTGTCCATGGGGAGGTTGAAGGGCTGCTGCACTTTGGTCCGGATGATTCTGCAGGGCAGATGGGGAGGCTAGGAGAGGGCCAGCAAGCAGGCCCGGGGGCCTCTCAGACCCAAGTGCCCTTTAGAAATTCCGCTTGGGGGTCATAGAGGCGCCTGGCACTCAGCCCATGCCCATCAAACCCACGACCTTACTGCTCACACCTGGTCCTCCCCAGTACTCCCATCTCACGGTGACATCCCAGTCACTTGAGGCAGAGACGCGGGGTCCGACACTGCCTACCCCTCCTTCTGCTATCACATTGCCCTCTGGTGCTGCAGTTTGACCTTGGACCCCTCCAGCCCTGGTCCCTCTCTGCACATGGCTGCAGGCACTGCAATGTGCCCCACTGCCCACTGCCTCCTTCCAGGTTGCTCACCGCCCACCCCATCCATCTTGCCCTTTCTGGTTTCTTCTTTCTATTGTAGCCAGACTGGACTTTCTGAAATGCAAGTCAGTCTCCTGCTTAAAAACTGCCACGAGCTTCTCGTTGCTCAAAAGTCAGAGACAAGACCA